TCGACTTCTACCGGATCCTATAGCATAGCAATCTACACGATCCTTACATGCTAGTAGGACTCATATATGCAAGTTGGTTTTATTCAACTCCTCAGAACTTAATGCACAAGCATAAAATAAAGTGCAAAATAATAGAGGTTATGCACCGGAGCTTGCCTGGGTAAGATATAACCAAAAGTTAGCATTCCATCATAGTGACATGATCATCAAAGCACCATCTTTTCTGCTACTTCAGTTGACTCCATGATCCATCGTTGTTCCTATTATGATATACGTGGATGCAACGTAGAGACACAGTTAATCAATGGTAACTGCAACTCTAAAATACGATTACGCTCCGCAAGCTAACGAGCTAGCTTTAATGACTAACGTAATAGTCTATGTATCCAAGCCATCAAGTAAGGCTTTGTCTCCGGAACAATGTTTTAATTCTAAAATCCCAAGATGTTTCGGCATTTTATTGATTAAACATATATTTCCGAACTAGGGCTCATTTAGCTACCTTAGCAAACTAATTATTATTGAGCTACAAAAATTACAGTGAGCACCTAATAATGTTAAGAATTTACTGTGAAAGTTTCAGAGCCAACACTATCACCAATTTATCATAAAAATTCCTATAAGTTTATATCTTATAATATTAAACATCTTAAATTAACTAGATAACTCCTGGAAATATTATAAAACTATATGAACAAAATATGCTAGCAGATAGACCATGATTTTAGGAACCTAACAAAATTGGTTTCATAATTTTTGGCCAACTACACAAATTTATATCGAATTTACAAGTTTACCTTAAAAATTGAATTAGAAAATACTTAGAAAAGGAAAAGGGCCGGCAGCAACCCCATCTGGCCCGGCAGCCTAGCGTGGCGCGGCTGCGCGCGCGTCGCGGTGGCCCAGCATGGCCCAAGACCGGGGATGCCCACGCGCGTTGGCCGTTTAGCAGAAAGGCCCCTGAGCTTTCAGAGATTAATACGACTACTATGCGCACTATTCCTACCGTCAGTAACTTTTCAACCAAACCCTTGGATGTTTTCGCCTTTACCACGTGGAGGTCCCTAGGATCCCCACGCACGTCGACGCGGCGGCCAAAGGCACAAGGCGGTTATGCCGGGCAAATTAGGCTCGCTACGACGGTATTAAAGGATCGACCACCATCTACATCTAAACACGTAAGGATGGGTGGCGGTTAGGGACTCAGAGACACACTATCGCGGGCTGCAGTGGCGAGCGGCTATCCACGACAGTGGCGCGACTATTCCAGCGAGCCTACGTACGCTCAACAGAGTAGTAGTGGTGGATAAGCATCAGTGGCTCACCGTGGTGTATGCCCTACTGACGATTGAAGTAGGGGAGCGCTACGATGGTCTGGCCACGTGTGATCGAGCGAGGTGGTGGCGCTCTGTGATGGACACCAGGCATGTCACCCCACCGACGACGAGCATCCTTACCAAAATAACACGAGCAACGGATAGAGGGAGTCAATGTGAACTTAGGGTTACAAGCAATTGAACTGTTACCACTCCTACAAGCCTTACCCCCAACCCTCTAGTCACGGCGGCACACATGATCGGCGGCGAGGAGAAACAGAAATTGATCATTGACAGACCACGGTTGGGCTCGAAGAGAATGCGACACCTAGCAAACTTGCTAAGCTACCCACTGGTGCGAGGAATTGGACTAGGAAGCCTCGGGTTGGTGATTAAGAAAGGGAGAGGGAGAGTGGTGCACTGCCACCATCACATCGCGGGAAGCGGCCCCGGCAGATATGGCTCGGCCACGACCCGACGAGACACGACAGCGCGGGGATATGACCGCTCGAGCGAAGGATAGGTGGCGCGTCGGTTAGTGCTTGGATAGAGCCATTGAAGGTGTGCCCGCGTGCGACCACACGCATGCAGCAGCATGGCGTCGCGATGCAATAACTACATACGACGTCAAGCTCGGGCTCGGTAGGTGGGTTGTGCGGCTGAGGGCGAGTGTTGCAGTAACCAAAACAACAAGAGGACAAGGCATAGCCCTGCAAGTGCGCTTGGACAGCGCCATGGTCGGCAGTGTCCCGCACACGGTGGAGAGCGGCTATGGCCACGCCTGACCCGGTGGGCAGCCGACGCCACACGGCTGGTCAGCGGGACAGCGATCACAGCCACAGAGTACGCCAGCCAACGCGTGGCGTAGCGTGTGGTAGCATCGGTCGGTGGTGGTGCAGGTAGCCCATGATGACATGACATCGGACGCGGTGACCGCGTCCCCAGGCCTGAACGGCCGAACCACGTGTGAATCACGAATTTTAAAGCGTCAAAACCAACCACTTAGAGCCCAGTTGAGATTAAAGCAAGAGTTCAAGATTCTAGTAGCCACTAAGCAACGAGCATGGCCGGGGAGTGAGCATCGAGGGAGATAGAGAGGTGACAATAGGAGCTCGTCGCGCTGAACACCAGTTCCCGATCGAAGCCCGAAACAAGGTTGACAGCGTGTTCAAACAAAGTTAGGGTAATTTCTACGACGCCATGACAACTCCAACTCATCCGTGGACTTCACCATGCTAAAGTACCCACTTCGATGCAATCAACAATACCAAAACATGTAGTTAGTGTTTAAATATTTTAGCTAGAATTTAAATGTCAAGATAGCATTGTCTTACTACTTTTCCCACACATAGAAAAGTTAGGGTTCAATTCAAACTAACAGGCATTAACACTTTTGTTACAATTTTTAAAAGGCCTAAACCCTATTAACCGCTACCAACAAGTATTTCATGCAATAGTCCATATCTTATATTAACCCATAGGAGCAAAATATTTAAGCACCATTTAACTATTTTGCTCAATATAATTCGTCAAAAATGGTATTTTACACAATAGTTCAAGTCTTTGCTGACTTAACAAAAATAGCTTATCTTAACGTCAAATTTAATTTTTGAGCTCCCAAAACACTAATTAACAACATCTACTTTCCAAAAGTTAAAGTTGCATTTCCATCTACTAAACTTATACTTCAATTTTTATTTAAGTACTAAATATAAGTTATGTTTGATCTTTGTTCATAGAAATTATTTTTTGCCTCACGTGCGTTATAAATTTTTAAAACCCAGAAACTTGTTAGGCTAATCCTTCTCGGACCTAAATCTCGACGCTAAACAAGCTCGTAACACCAGGGGTGTTACACTCCACTTCAGTGTAGTAGAATATCCTACTAGGATTTAATAAATGACCGTGCTATATAATTCTATCATTCAGGACTAGTTCAGAATATTCCTTCTTTATGAAGGTATGCATATATTATTATTACCGGAATCATCATGTGCATATGAGTTTACTACATATAAACAAGTGGCGAAGTGCAAAAAGATAGCGGATGGTTATACAAAATACTCTTAGAAGCATCCTAGCATTTTTTAGAATTATGGTATATGTAAATTTTTAGAATTAATACCAACCATTTATTCATCCTAAAAATTCATTATGCTAGGAAAAACAAATTTGAGCCTCTCAGAGGTGATAAGTCTATGGTCTGCAGGATTTAGAGAGGCCATATACCTTATACCATGTTTCTAGTTTAATAATTCAAGTTTTTATTCTTACAATTACATGGTATATAATTCATAATGATATTGCGCTAGCATTTTTCAGAACTAATTTCAAAGTGTAGAAAATTTTCAGAATTAATCTACTATTTAATTCAGAAAAATAAAGCTAGGCAAAAACAACAATTAAACTACAGATTCAAAGTTGTATATGAACTCTTATATATTCAATTCAAAATATAAGAGGGTACAGTAAATATGTATTAACAACGGGTTTAGGGTTAAAAACTTCTTTAAAAACTGAATGTTCCAAAGGGTGGTGTGTAAAAATACTATAAATTCATATTCACATTTACCAGAAACATATATTCTATTCTGCAGAAATAGATGACTTATGCTTAGATTCTTCAAGAATTCCAAGCTTAATCATAAGACTTCGGATCTATTAGTTAGCCCCTTTTTCTTAATTCGATGCTTAAATTCTTTAGTCCTAATCTGTTATTACGAGATTCCCTCCTTTAGCCTGATTCAACCAGGCGTGCTTGTCCTTGGCAATGTTGTCGTGGATAGCTGTGACATACAAGTTACTACTCACAAAGCATCAAAACCGTGTGACAGATCACCGCATGCAGGCGGCAGCCAAGTGCATCTGGAGCGACCTGCTGCAGTGGTTAAGACCTGTTTCGACTTTTTTCGGCGAAGCGAACGGAACCGTTACGAGCGGTTAGCATCTTCTCTTCTTCATCTCTCATGATCAACCTAGTGAAAGAAAATAAAACATATAGACACAAGATATGGAGAGACTATTCTTTATTTCTCTTAATATTGGTTACTACAACATAGAGCTCATAAGTATATATATAGTCCTACCAAAACTTAAAAGTTTTAATAAAAATCTATATATAAATAGACTAGGATCATCATTGCTCCTCTACTTCTCACTCGAATAGAGTCCATGTGTTTTACGACACGAACAATCACGCCCTGAACCGCCGCGTCCTTGCTGGCCGGCCGACGTCCGCACGGGCGCGCGCTGTCTCACTGCTTGCCTCGTCGGCTCGGCGCCTCGGCCCTCTCCTCTGCCGCCACGCCCGCACGCCTGGCCGCCTCCCCCAACTACTCCCCCCCCTGCCTCTTGACCCACTCGGCCGCCACGCCACTGCTGATCACACGCCCGCGCGTCCCCTATCGCGCGCATTACTCCGCCCGGACTCCGCTTCACTCCTTTCCTTTCCGTTCCCGTCCCCGTCGCCGTCGCTGTCCGCCGCCTCGGTCTCCCACTCCCACTTGCCGCCCGCCCTGCTCGTTGCCTTCTCCTCCGCCTCTTATCCTCTACGGCCCTGTCCTGTCTCTCGCACGGGCCGATTCGTTGGCATGGCAGTTACCTGCCGCTGACTCGCTCTAGTGGTGAGGAGGACCTGCTGCAGTGGACGTGGTGCCGCAGAGGGGTGCCGCCGGCGGAGCAGCCATGGAGGCGGTCCAGACGGTACGCGATCTGATCCGCTTTTCCCTCGTCTCTTCTCCCATCACCCACGCGCGCGTGTATGTGTCTAGTAGCCATCGCGTGCCGTGTTTCTGCTTGTCATCCGTTTTGTTTGGGTCGGTCTGAAATTCTGAATCGGGATGTTCATCCACTCGCTCTCACGTTCTCCTGATTGTTTCATCCGTTGTTTGTATGCGTTGGAACATGATGATCATATTTACTTTCCACGCTTGTATGCGTTGTTTGCGTATTGGCGGTCCAATTCCACGGCTTACTTGATCAAGAATTGTCTGCGGTTTTCTTAATTCTCTCACACAATCACCAATCCAGTTGCTCACCGCAACCGCATTCACTTACTAATTCATCAGAACTACTGTTACTTGAAGTCTGGAACTGCTGTATATTTTTTTTATAGGAAAAAGAAAAACTAGAGCTGTCGTGTCTTATTCATCAGAGAGTTCTCGCCGCTCATATGTGGTCAGTTTATGCTTGAAAGTTGAAATCAGATGACTCTGTTTTGGGGATTCAATTCCAGTGGGTTCGAACTTCGAAGCCTATAGCATTTTGTTCTCATTTTCATGCCCATTATTTCATTTCGATCAGACTCTCTCAGTATCAGCAAATCCGATCCCATGATTTGCGTCAACTTGTGACGACATATTCATTCCATGGAATTCCCAGCACTGAAGTCAATACTTGAGCCTACCATTCTGATCATGTTCCCGTTTTGTTCGGTTCTCCAATGTTTGCATCACCTTTCCTATCATCAGATGTTGAACTACACTGAAAAAAAAACTGAATTCTGAATATCATCAGATGTTGAACTACACTGAAAAATCTGAATTCTGAATCGGAAAACTTGCTGCAGGTACCGAGTGAGAGGAAGAACCCGCTGCTCAACAGGTCACCCAGTCCATCCGGCGTCACTCGGCTTCAACCTGACGCCGGCAACGGCGCGGGCTTCTACGACGGTTCCGCCTATTCTTTCCTCGACACCACCAAGCCCTGCGCCACCCGATTCAGCAGCGGGTCAGTGACGTCCGAGGACTCGCCGGCGCTGACGCCCAGGCTGCTGTCTTTCAAGTCCAGCTCCAGCCCCGACAACTGCTCCTCCTCCGCCGAATGGCCCGACCGAGCGGCGGCGGCGCGTTCCAACCGGTACCTCTTCGATGCGAACGCGCAGGCCCGGTGCGCCGAGTACCTGGACCTGATGAGGGTGGAGGTGGATGCGCAGCTGGGCAAGCTCAAGGGGGGTGTCACCGGCCTGGAGAGCTATGCCTTGCCGGACAACGGCCGTGTGATCGGAGGTGCGCACCTGGGCATGTCGCTTGATGTCATGCTGATTGAGATTGACGAGAGGTTCAACGCCCTGAAGCTGCTCATGGGTTCCGTGTTCCGGCAGGCGAAGGAGATGCTTGGTTCGGTCAACTCGTCGGTGTCTGATCTGCAGTCGGAGAATGAGCTGCGGCTGGAAGTCTTCGGTGCTGTCATCGGAGAGTGCGTCAGTGGCCTGCAGGAGGAGCTAGAGAGGAAGCTGTACGAGCAGATTAACATCACAAACACCATGAGTAGGAATTGGAAAGAGGCCATAACTCAATTTGCCGCCATGCGTGAAGACCTTGGCGCTCTTTGTAAGCTACTACTGCCTTTAGTACCAGAAGCTCATATTTCTAACGGCAAGAATGAAAGTCCAGGCAACAGGAGTAACAGATGGAAGTACAATTTCTTTGGAAAGAAACCCAAAGAGGATCGTTCTCCACGCGCCGAGGACAGTAAGAGTTTCAGGAAGCAAAAATCATTTGGTGCAAAGGATGTCATCTCAGAAAAATCTGACTTTCGCCATCTCAACGGTATGACTAGAGAGCAAGTGATAAGCTATTTTAAATCTGAGATCAGCAAGCTGAAAAGGATGCACGAATCAGCATTGCAAGAGAAGACAGAAGAACTGTTCAGGTTCAAACGGGAGAAGGGGTCACATGCTCTCAAGAATGACATCGAATTTGAACCTTTGAGAAAGAAAATTCCAGAGATTGTATTGAGAATGGACCAAATCATTTCCAAGAATATAAAGATACCTGCGATCTGCATGACCCATGATGAACTTGACGAAAGATGCAGACTGATGAGCAGAATCGATGCTTTGTTTTATGAAAACCAGCATCTTCGAGGGTTGCTTGCAGATAGGACGAAGGACGTTAAGGCATTATCATCTCAGCTATCCGAAGCCAGTACAGAACTGTCTCTTCAGTTGTCATCCGAAGAAGAACTCCTGAGACAAATCGACAAAGTTAGAGAAGATTGTGAGGACCTCCGAATTGAATGTGATCTTAGAGAGGGAATGTACCAAACTGTTACAAAACAATTGCTTGATGACTATAAGGACAATATGGATGGTGCTGCACTAAATCTTAGTGCAAAATTGTCTTCATTTGAATCCGCAGTCTCCGAAAAGAATAAGGCATTAGGTCTATATAATGAAGAAAATCACAGGTTAAAGGAGAAGTTAGCAGAGTTAGAAAAGGAGCGCTTGATCCACGATCACCAGGAAGTTCCAGAAGTCATAAAACAAGAGAGTACAGAAATTGTTCTGCGTGACATTGAGGTCGAGCCTCGCACATCACCGAGAACATCAAATGGGAATGATTTGCAGTATGACAAACTTGTGAACCTAAACTCAAGCTTAGAGCAAACGTCAGGTATCCTGAAGGAAATGGACAATACAAATCTGGATCGTAGTAGTAGCCTCACTAAGAATGAGCAAGAAAAGCAGCTGGAGTGCATTTTAGTATCTATCATGAAATTATCAAAAGAATTTGTACAGATTGAGAAAAAATTGTCAGCAGAAAAAACTGAGAACAGGTTTGTTTTTGTTCATTAACTTGCTTCCCAGGCATTTCTATTCCCTTTTGCAAAAACACGATTCCGATGTTGAGCATGGTTGTTTCAGGTCAGAGGATTTGAGTGATCACTGCAGCCACATGGTCAGACAAGCCGTGGTACTAACAAAAATCGGTCTCTGGTATAAACAAATGATTGAAGCGAGGCGTTCTGAGCTCCAAAAGGCTGAAGCCAAGGTACTCTAGAATTGAACTTCTGTTTGACTGCACGAACAAGTGATATATAACTATATAAGTTCATCATGCAGAAACTCTGAAATGTTTTCGATGTGATCAGGTAATGATATTGGGCGACAAGATCACTGCACAGTTAAGCCTTCTTCAAAAGATATATTTAACTCTTGATCATTACTCTCCTACCTTGCAACATCATCCTGGTGTAAGTACCTCAGTTGGAGATAGCTTGCATTCTTTGCATCCATGTATTTTGCAATGACCAGTATAATATTCAGAACATCACAAACATTAACATGGTTGCCTGTGTATGCAGCTGCTAGACGCTTTCTTAAAGACATGCAAGCTTGTTGCAGATTTGAGAAGTAAACAGAATGAAGGCGATACGACATGAATGAGGTGGCGGTATGGTGAGATCTCCCTTTGTAGCTAATGTTCCTCATGTGCTTATCCATGTTCCACGCCTGCGGTTGCAGACCAAGTGACGGATTCTATTTAACTGAGGTTTCAGAATTCTGATCCTGATATGTGCTGTATATCTTAGTACCAAGTGAACCAACAGCTGCCTTGCTGATCTTATGCAATGCAAGTGGTAGCTGTTTCTATCTGCAATGATGGCCAGAAATCTGAAACCACATGCAGGACAGAAGATATGTATAGATGACACTGCTCACGTGCTTGTTGGTTAGAGAATAGGGTTGTTACTTGTTTAATTAGCAGCCTAGGCCATAGAAAAGAATGTATTGGATGATTCTCTCAGACCAAGTAGAGAAGATGTTAACCACATTGTAAGCATAAAATTTATCTATCCCCACTGTGTTGATGAGTATCTTATTTCCTCCATCTAGATTGGTGGTATTGCTACTCACTGGACGCGTTCATGGTCCACCCACAGTGAAATGAGCACGTCGAATGTTAGAGACAAAAATAATGGAGATTTTCGCCAAGCGTGGGTGGATGTCTTCTGAGTTCTAGGTTTAGTGCTTAGTTTGCCAACCTTCAACTTCATTTGCTTTTTATGAGCTCTTCAAATCCAGCCAGATGCTTAACTATAGTAATTGATTGAAAACCGGGCTATATTTCCCCATCGTGAAAAAAAACTACAATAATTGATTGATTGAGTGCAAAAATCATATGGAGTTCGAAATAAAATGTTCTTTTTCTAAGAAAAAGTTTGATGTTGTTTGCTCAAGAGTTATACTACGACACAAACAAATAGGTAAATTATGGAAGAAACGAGCTTACACATGACACAACCTATGTGGAAACGATAATCCTCTGACTCGGCGTCCGTCCTTTCCGGACGCCGCGCGCGCCCACTCTGCTCGCTCCCTCCCGCAATGCTTGGCTAGTGCTCCTACTAGAGAGTAGTATATTCTGTACTTACATTAAAAAAAGAATCGCCAATTCTTCTTCTCCCTTCTTCTTCATCTATACACACCGGTCGATTCGGCAGCAGCCGCGCACCTCCTACCGATGCCTCCTCCATCCTTTCGGTTTCCTACTCCCAAACACAGCGCCTTGCGGCTGCCCGCACCGGCACCTCTTCATCCCTGTCGCTTCCTCAGCCCGACCCCAACATCGTGCCCCGAGCTCATCGCTAGAGCCCGCTTTTCTGTTCATCTTCTCTACCATGGGCTGCAATCCTACTGCTAGTACTACAATACAGTGAGGGCGGGTTGGGAGATGGCACTCCTCACGGGGCCCCTCTGGGCGGCGACCCTCGTCGGCCTCCCTGCTTGGCTGGGCCTCGCTGTTGCCACTCCAGCGCCTCTGACAGGTCGGCCTCCGTCTCCTCCCTGTCCTCCTCGCCGATCTATACCATAGTTCCTTACCAGGTAGACCATGTGCCGGGGGGGATGCTGTGTTTCATTGTTTCAGGCATTTTTTACTTTTGTTTCAAGTGTTTTATCTAGATGTTGCAAAAGTAGATTTAGATATTGCATATATTTTCAAGTGTTTCAGGCGTTTTAGACCTTTATTTCAAGTGTTTCATCTGGAGGTTGCAAAAGTAGATTTAGATGTTGCACATGTTTTCAAGTGTTTCAGACGTTTCATACCTTTGTTTTAAGTGTTTCATCTGGATGTTACATATGTTGCAATGATAAAATACGCTTGTTGCAAGCCTATGTTTCAAGTGTTTCAGGTGTTTCATATTAATGTTGCAAATATTTCATCTAGAGGTTTTTAAAAGTAGATCTTGGTGTTGCACATGTTGCAAATGGCTATTCATCTAGATGTCACATGTTGCAATGGCGCCAGTGATCGGCGGATAGTGGCCTACCGTAGGGCTTTAGCTCCTACCTTGTGCCTTTCTCGCGCGACGCGCCTCGCCTTTCATCTCCTCTTCCTCCCCTCCCTTCCTCTCCCTCAATCTTGCCATGGCAGTTCGAGCTCGGCCAACGAGCGTGCGAACATCAGGTAGGCGCAGCAGCAGGAACGGGGTGGGCGGGCAGGCGCAATAGGCGGGGCAGGTGCGGGCATCCTCGGATGGGTGCTAGCGTCCGGATGTCCGGCGCTAGCCATACCAATGTGGAAACACTGAAATAGTCCATCAACGTTGCAAGAGGATTGCTAGCGCCCCGATGTCCAGACGGACGCCCGCGTCCGGACACCGATGCCCGCACCCTGTTTCCCCATGCTTGCACCCCAGTGCGCCCATGCGGGGCACACCACCACCCACCCGACCTACAACAAGCGGAGACCGCTCATGCCTCGTATGCTTTCCGCGCGCATGCAGGCAGGGAGATTTTGCGCCCGCTCGTCGGCGCCCCAGCAACTGCAGCAGGTAGCTACGATAGGTGGTCCCATTACAACATGTGCAATACCAAATCTACTTTTATAATATCGAGATGAAATACTTGCAACATGTATCCAAAACGGTTGAAACACTTGCAACATATGTCTGAAACACTTGCAAAACACCCGAAAACACTTGAAAACCATTGCAAACTGAAAGTGCAATCAAGCCTTATTTGTGGATTTTGGTGATAATGACCACACAATTAGAGAACTAATGAGATTTATCGAGACGACAAGCAGAGAATTTATATTCGAGGATGCTACATGAAATGGAGGAGACCCCAATTAAAATATAGATGGCTTCAAACTCAAAAGATGTTTAAGATTCTTTTATATCTTAAATTTGAGTATATGAAAAGTCGTACTATAAAGGGGGACACAATGCTTAAGCTAATATATGCTACCAAGTGCTCAAACAACCACAAGCATCCTTAGATTCACAGCCAAGATAGTCCCCACTTCACTATTATCCTTGCTATCTTGCGTGGTGCGGTACTGTCGCACTTGAAGAGAGGCACTGACGCACTTGAGTCGCAGCACAAGGAAGTTAGCGCCCAAGCTGACTTTCCCAGATGGCTCGAGACATGTTAAACAGTCTCACCCGACCCCTTGGGTGCGGGATCCGTCTTGCTCGACTCCAAGGTCGCGGGATTCCTCTCGCCCGACCCTTGGTGCGGGCTCTGTCTCGCCCGACCCTAAGGTCACTAGATCCATCTTGCCCGACCCCAAGGTCGCAGGATCCGTCTCGTCCAACCTCGAGGCTACGAGCTTTGTCTCGCCCGACCCCTTGGGTGCGGTGACCGTTGTGGGCTAGGGTATATATATATCTTTCCCTTTCCTCCCCAATGGCTATCTGCGATTTAAGTGACCGTTGGGGGCTGGGGGGTATATATATACCTTTTCCCTTCCTTCCCATGGACACCTACCTCTTCTTCCTCACTTGAGCATGTCCAACGCAGAGTAGGAGCTCTCTCTCTCTCCCCTCCATTGTTGACCTCAAGTCCTCAAGCAAATCCATTGATTTTCCCATCAATCCTTAAGGAAAAAGGGTCCCAAACTCGATTAGAGAGCAGCTCCATTGATTTCCCAACTCTAAAAAGCACTTGGTTCACGTTTTGGTCAGCGGTTGTGTTTGTTACTCTTGGAGCTTGGCTCCTAGCCAGCTAGAGCATTGCCCGTGGAGCTTGCCAACTTGTGTGGTAGCCCCGGGAGATTTGTAACCATCTCTTAAAGCTAGTAAACTCACCCCTCATCTCAAGAGTTAAGTCTCTTGACTTGAGAATGAGGAAGGGCTGAAAAGCTCTAAGCCTTAGTGGCTAACCTCAACAACGAGAAGGTAGGCAAGCCTTGGTGGCAAGTCGAACCATAGGATAAATCATTGTGTCACTTGTGCTTGATTTACATTACTTGCATGACATATTGTGGTTGAGGTGATTTCTAGGGTTTTTAGTCAATCTACTTGTGTGTGGTGTTTCTACCACTTCTAGCTCTTGATCTGTGATTGTCATACCTGCAGTAAGCTAGGAAATTTCTCCGATCTAAGTTTTTGTTCACGGACTTTGAACTGTGACTCAAAGTTGTCTGCAGGTGCAGCAGTGCCATTGTTTAGGTCCGGCAGTGCCGTAGTCCGGTAGTGCCACCCTCCAGAGCGGTAGTGTCATAGGGTGAATTTGATAAAAGTTTGAGTGTTTGTTTTGACAGGCCTATTCACCCCCTCCTCTAGGCCAACCAGAGATCCTACACAAACGCATGCAACATCCAGATATATACTTTTGCAACATCCAGTAAAATACTTGCAACATATGTATGAAAACACCTAAAACACTTGAAACATACATTTGCAATATCTTGATATATTTCTGCAATATCCAGATAAAACACTTGAAACATATGTCTGAAACACTGAAACACTTGAAACATATACTTACAACATGCATATATAGCCATTGCAACATAGGCAATATCTAGATGAAACACATGAAAACAGACTTCTAAAACACTTGAAACACGGCGTCGCCAGTGGCCAAGGCCTACCTGGTGGGGAACTGTGGTAGCTAGCAAGCGACGCTCAGGGTGCAGTGGAGAGGGAGGATGGCGGTAGGCAAGTGAAAGTGCATCTAGCCTTTTAGTGGGTTTTGGATGATTGAATGACAACGTGATTAAGGGTCTAACCTGTTTGCTAAGTGCTAAACATAAATGGATTAATCTCACAGGTACTTGATGAAAGCCAAAATAATGTGTTGTTATTATATAAACAATCTAGTTCAAGCATAAGACAACAATGCAAATGTAATTAATGCAAGGCTTATTCATTGTGGGATTTCGATGATTCACATGAAAGCAGGCACGTTGAGAAATAATTAATGAGACATAAGGGATTGCATATGGAATGGTCTCACATCTTAAAGCTTGCTACATTGAAAGACAATCACAAAAGATCTTGATGAACGATTCAACGCCAAGTGTGACTTGATGGCTTGAGATGGTGAAGATAGCGAGGAAAGGCTTTGAGGTACTAAGCAAGGGTGAAGGGCAAGCGATGGCTTGGCGATCGAGGAACCTAGCTAGGGTACCAATCGAACCTTGATGGTCACATCGAAGTGGAGGATCAAATCTTGGATAAAGTGTTGGAAGTGACTTGATACATTAGAGTTAACTCGTATTTATTGAATGCAACCAAGTCACATGCTCAAGATGGTTATGCTCAAGGAGAAAATCAAAATGGACATGATGACACCCTCACTTGATGAAGATTGAAAAGCTATGGCATTCGTTCCAAGGATTTCAACTCAAGCGGTTCAAATCTCGTTTCCATTTAATCTTGAGTAAATAGGTATGTCGTACTATTAAGAGGGATGCATCATGTTGATGGATGATTATTCATAAGTGCTCAAGCCAACCCATGTGAGGTTCAAGTGAGAGAGAGTGCCTAGAGCTGACTTGCCTATGCTGTGACTAGCAATACCGGACGTGCCCGGTATGATCCGGTATCAACCTAGCTACAACAACCTTCTCAGGTTTTCTCGGTTTGACTCGTCGGGAGTTCCAACAATCATATGGAGTTTCGGGAGTCGGAAGTCTTGGCAATCGTCGGGAGTTCTGGCGCCTCGCAGTAACACTGACCTAGTTACCATTGGGGATGTACGCGAAATACACGTGTCCGGTATTGATACCGGACGTGTCCGGTATTCCCAACGTTTACTATAACGACTGATTCTGCTGACATTCTCACACATTTTTTAGCCTTGAGAACATTCTCCAACCCTCTCTCAGTGAGTGAGTGATTCAAACTTGCAAATCCATTTTGTGGGTTGAGTGAGATTCAAAATCGAGAGCAAGCCACCCTTGAGCAATTGTGCATATTGTCGATCTCGTGATTCGCATTTGTTACTCTTGGACTCTTCGGTCCTAGACGGCTAGGCATCGCCGGAGAGCACCCAAGAGATTTTGGTGTGCCTCAGAAAGTTTGTAACGGTTCGATTCCATCGCCATAAGGGAAGGGATCAACTAGTGGAAGGAGGAAAGGAGTTGGAAAAGACTCCGACTAGAGTGGCCTTCGTGGTCCTCTAGAGCTGACCTTCGCTGGGTCGCTCGCAGCCCCCTCAACGGAGAGTAGGACTCGACGGAGTCCGAACTTCGGTAAAACAAATATCGTGTCTTGACCTCTCTTTATATTTGGTATTTGTGATCTATTTGTATTGCTTGAGCTTGTCTGCAAGTGACTAGTGATTGCTCGAAACTTGGAAGCAAGGAGGAAACAAAAGGAGCTTCTCAGAGGCTGAATTGCCCAGCTCGTGAATATCGGACGTGTCTGGTATTTCTCTCCTGTACTGTTTTTATTTACTCGTTGCTCTAACTTTGTGTTGAAGGGTTGTATCTCCTAGATACATTTTAAATACCTTGTATTCTCTGTTGACTAACTCGTGAGGGGTTTATTTCTCTGATTTGGAGTTTCAAAGTAATTAGAAACTCCAACTCTAATCGTTTTCGTATTTTGAAGGGTTAAATTTTTAGAAATGCCTATTCACACCCTCTAGGCGGCATCCTTGGTCCTTTCAGCAAGTGACTGGGCATGGCGAAGAATGCCGCACCAGAGCAGTCACCATGGACCATGCTGCATCGGCTCGAAGAACTCGGCGATGAGTGGTGAGTGACAGTGGGGAGATTGGAAGGGAGGCGATGGCGCTCGAGCGGGGTGCAACACGCCACTGCGTTTCAGCCGCCAGTAGCGCGGTCGCGGTGGAGCATGTTGCGGCGATGTGGGCGAGACGACGATTCAAGAGTGGGTTTGAGAATGGATGCGGGCATAGCTGCGATTCGTTAGGAAAGTGACGGGGATTTTTAATTTTGAGCAACGCGAGATGGGTGTGTCCATGCGAATGGCAGTGTTGGACCGTTCAGGCAGGTGTTGAGGCCCACCAACGCGCGTCCGAACGAAACGGGCGCCCGACGCACAGTATTTTCCGACGTTGCAATCGAGGATCTTATGGGAATTTGAGTTTTCAAACTAGGCCTTAGGAGTCTCACCGGCACGCATGGGCGGATACAAGGGTATTTCCGGGAGGGAATACCCAACTATTTTGGTACACTTTTATGTATATATATGTACATATACTTGCGTAGATATATGTATAATGCATTATTCTATATTATTTTCGCTCATTTTAGCCCGAAACCGCCCAAAAAAAGGGCCTTTTAGGCCTGGCTTCCAAAGTCCCACACTCGCAGGCCAGCTCACTAGGCCCAATTAGCCACTCCACCCGGCCACCCCTCCTGGCATGTGGCCCAGTCACCCGGCGTCCTGCTCCTCATCCGCTCGGCCGCTCACAGTCGTGGCCGATTGCCGAAGGCGACAAGAACACTGCGGCTAACCCTAGCGGCGGCGGCGGCCAGCGGGGAGCGGGCTGCGAGCGCAACAGCGCAAGGCAGGGTGCGCCGGGGCGGACAATTCGAGGCTCTGTTGCAGCGTTGCTCCGAGCTCTAGCCTCCGGGAGTCCACAGTCCAGGTCGGTTGTTTATGCACAGCAGCATAGGGGCTTCAGAATCTAGAAATCAGATATTCGTTGAGAAATTATTGATATACGGTGCACAATTCACAAACAGTATTGCAGTTTTTTTTCGTCTCTCAACTGTAATATCTGTTCATGAACAGACACACACCAACACCACACACACACTCACACACACCTCACTCATACCCCATGTACATAAACAGACCATACAAGTACACCTAGATTTTAAGATCACGTCCTTGAGGAGATCACCGAAACCATCCCAGACTTCGTAGGCGACGGGCGCGCCGCTATCCTTTTATAGTTTCACACGAGAGAGGCGGCACCTGTTAAATATGAGGGAAAACCCCGATGGAGACACTGAGTCAAGCAGAGCTCAAACCCACGACCGGCCGCTGCACCACCTGCAGCGTTTCTACGGCTCGATCCCGTACTGCAGTTAATTAAACCTATGGATTGAAAAAAAAAATTGGAAGTGGGAATACCCAACTTTGAAATGGCTCCGCCACTGCCAGCACGGCACGGTCGGGCCCATGTTTTATTGCAGTCTAACCCACTTCGAGTGCGTTCGGCTGGCTGGCTGGGCTGAGCCCGGCTGGCCAGCTTACTCACAGAAATACTATTCACGTCTAGATATAATAGTATTTTTCTCTCATAACAATTAGTCGAAACAGTATTTTTCAGTCCCCCAGACATGTCCGAATTCATCCTTTCCTACTCTGCTCGGTGGGCTTCTAGGCCTGTGATCCCCTGGTCGGCCCATTGTTTGAAGGCCCAGTTAATATCAGAGGAGGCAGTGCTTCCGAGTTCGACTGATAGAGCATACGAGAGGAGACAGCGGCGACCTCCACTCCCGTCGCACAGTCGCCGCCGGAGGCCGCGCGCGCCGCCGTCTCGCCACGGTTCGTCTCTCCCTCTACCTCCGTCCCCTCGCTGAGCTCGGTTTCTGTTCAATTTTCGCGCTCCCTTCCCCTCGCATCTGACACTCGCGACGCGACCCTCCAGAACTGAATCGCGCTCTGTTGATGGGCAGCTTGCGCGCCCCGCCGGCGCCGGCGCCGCTCGTCGGAAGCACTAGGGTTGCCTTCCGTTCTGGGATTCGCTTTTCCTCCGACACAGTCCTCAAATACAGAGGTGCGCGCTTGTTGGTCTATATATATATATATATATATATATATTTTGCTGTTGCTGCCCGCCTGCCCCTGCCAGCCACGAGTTCCTAAAGGTTCGTTGGTCTCTGTTTCATAGAATCGCGCATTGCTTCCTGATTTTCAGGGTTAACTACCAGTAGCGCGATGAAGTCGTATAGGCTATCCGAGCTCAGCGACGCCGAGGTCAGCGGCCTCAAGGCTCGTCCCCGCATCGATTTCTCGTCCATATTTGGCACGGTGAGATGACAGCGAGATTACTCATGTTGTTGAAGTCCAGTTTCGTTTTATTTCATAGTCTGATAACCATGGGATTCTGTCTTGTGCAATTAGGTGAATCCAATCGTTGAGGATGTCCGTGTCAGAGGTGATGCAGCAGTTAAGCAGTAAGTGTTGCTGTTATAGATGGCCTTTTCTTGGAGGACTGGGAGATTGTGATTAATTTTCTGGGTTTGTTTTTTCCAGCTACACAGAAAAGTTTGACAAGGTCACGCTCGATGATGTTGTCGTTCGTGTTAGCGATCTTCCAAATGCAGAGGTAATTGTCCTGTTTTATGTATATGTTATTTCCCCTATTTGCTACATGAGTTTGGTTATCTTACCTACATAAACACTGTAGTTTGATCCAGCGGTGAAGGAAGCCTTCGATGTTGCATATGACAATATATATGCCTTCCATGTTTCACAAAAATTACCCGAGAAGACAGTTGAAAATATGAAAGTAAGAGATGCCTCAATTTTGTAAAGTTTCACCTTTTCTATACGCTCTACGTTAATTATGTATGCCCTGTTCATGAATATATAAAGGGGGTAAGATGTAAGAGAATAACAAGGTGCATTGGTTCTGTTGGGCTGTATGTCCCAGGTGGCACTGCAGTCTTGCCTTCGACTGCATTGATGCTTGCTGTGGTATGCTTGCCTCTACTCAAATCCTCTCAACTGAATTAATTGAATTAATTCACTGTTTGAAGCTTTTCATATAATCCTCTTTCTGCCAGCCTGCACAGATTGCTGGATGCAAAACTATTGTTCTTGCCACACCACCTAGCCGTGATGGTAGCATATGCAAGGTACACTTGAGGGACATGAAACTGCACCTGTATTCTTTTTTTTAATAATTGTTGATCGAGCACTGTATACTTTTGTTTCCTGCAGGAGGTTCTTTACTGTGCAAAGAAAGCTGGTGTGACACACATATTGAAAGCCGGAGGAGCTCAGGTACTAGAATATTTTGAGATTGTCTTGTGCTTCATTATTTAGTTCAGTGCTCTTAATGTTGTTTACTTTCAGGCAATCTCAGCAATGGCATGGGGAACTGCGTCGTGCCCAAAGGTATTTGAAGTATATAAACCTATCGATTACATGTTTAAAATCAGTAGCAATCTTTGTGTCTATATACTGGCCTTTATTTAATATATTACCTTGCTTGTTAAATAATTCTCATAGAACTTAATAAACTGCATCGTTTTTACTGGGCATGCCCTGCTCTTAGCGCTTTAAACTCTGCCCAAAACAACTGTTAATGTATGGAGATGTTGACTCACCAAGTTCCACAGCAATTATTTATGTTTTTCTGTATTGGCTATGGACTCTGATTCGATCGCATAACTTTTAGTAGCTTTGTTACTGCGTCTGCAGGTTGAGAAGATTTTTGGGCCTGGCAACCAGTATGTAACAGCTGCCAAAATGATTCTTCAGGTTTGTTCTTGTTCTTCATTGAAAAAGTTTACCATTATCTTCTTTGCCAAGACATCTTTTCTGTGTTCAGTTGTTTTTGTGATTCTAATTCTTATTTCACTGCAGAACAGTGAAGCTATGGTATCTATAGACATGCCTGCTGGCCCTTCTGAAGTTTTAGTCATTGCTGATAAATATGCGAACCCAGTTCATGTTGCTGCTGATCTGCTATCTCAGGTATTCTATTTGTTGCCCTGGTCTGATCTACATTGCTAAATGCTGTTAATGTTTACTATTTAAAAAACTGAATTTTGAGAATCCTTCATATATATAGAGGTTGTTTTATGATGCTGAATTCCTTATTGTCGCACATGTTCACAATGTATGTCATTACAGTTAGCTAGTTAAATCTTTTGTAGGCAGAACATGGCCCAGATAGTCAGGTTGTTCTAGTTATTGCTGGAGATGGTGTTGATTGGGGTGCCATTGAGGCAGAAGTTAGCAAACAGTGCAACGCGCTTCCAAGAGGTGAATTTGCTTCAAAAGCACTTAGCCACAGCTTCACTGTGTTTGCCAAAGATATGGTTGAGGTAATTCTTCACCCCTGCTTCCTGCAATGGATGCATCTATGCTGCCCATTTGTGTTTTAAGTGCATCACCATTCTACTGTGACTTCAGTGCCTTCATTTGTTTCTACTTTTTGCAGGCTATATCATTCTCAAATCTGTATGCCCCTGAGCATTTGATCATCAATGTTAAGGATGCTGAGCAGTGGGAGGAGCTCGTCGAGAATGCAGGTAGGCATATTTTTGTCATTAGCTTTGTTGTGGTCACATTGATCTTCATGCAGATGCTACCCCTTGGCACATATATCTCGAATTCTCAATCTGAATATTTGGTTTCCATATTTCAGGGTCAGTTTTCTTGGGCCAATGGACCCCAGAGAGCGTGGGCGATTATGCAAGCGGAACAAACCATGTCCTTCCAACCTATGGTTACGCGAGGATGTACAGTGGTGTATCACTGAACTCTTTCCTCAAATACATTACAGTCCAATCCCTAACAGAGGAAGGACTGAGAAAGCTGGGTCCATACGTCGCGAAGATGGCCGAAGTGGAAGGGCTAGAGGCGCACAAGAGAGCCGTTATCCTCAGACTGCAAGAGGTTGAGGCTACTGTAACCGTTTAGCTGCTGTCATGAACTCATGATCCATTGTAATATTCAAACTCGATGTGGGATTTTGGAATTCTTCCCTATTCCTACAGGAACTGAACTATTGATGTCTTCCAAACAGGCTCTGGAATGTTAGAAAGAGGCGTTTCAACTGGTACAACAAATAATGCTCATTACAATCTGAAATGTTTCTCGAATAAACAGAGCAGAACTTATTGTATATGCAGTGTTCTCGTATTAGTTATTTCCCTAATTGCTTCTGCACCAATTTTTGGATTGTGCATGTGCATCCAATGTGTTTCAAACAGACTGACAAGCATGTATAAGAGCAAGTATAACAAGGGGTTGTAAGCAGGCTGTATGCTGACATGGAGGAGAGAGGGGAGGAGAGAGAAGAGAAGCGGGATATAAGCTTACAGCCAGCTTATGCACAGGAATCAAGAAGTTCTGTGAGACAGACAAGTAGACTGTAAGCCTGCTAACTATTATACGAGTGGGCTGCTAGATTGGCTGTAAGATTCTATACAACCAGCTAGCCTTGCTCTAAGAATCTGATGGAAAAGAAACAATAAAATGGCATCGAGCAAAGAGATTTTCGGCAGCAATGCAGTAAGAAAAAAGTCTATTTGTCACGCTCAAAGTATAAATTCGGATATGTATACCCTAAACTGTTTAATACCAAACAAATTGGTTTTAACGGCGGTTTAGTCCGTGATGGGGTAAATTAAACTACATCTACATTTCAGGGATCAAATAACTTTACTAAAAAAGTAATACAAGTACTCCGTAAAAAACTATATGTTATTTTGATTTTTCTAAATATATAATTTTTATACAATATATCGGGACATGAAGAGTATTTTTTTTTCAAAAACATCTCCAAATATTATGGACCGCAGTCATTTCAGGGCTTAGATAATGAAAAGCCCAACAAAGGGTCAAAGGCCCGCCTCACCCCATCGGCCCATCCTGACTCCCGGTGCCCTCAACGAGTCTGCCGTCAGTCCGTCACACCGCGGCCCCGATTCGTACCGTCGGACGCCCGACTCCCTCCGCCTCCGCCTCCGCGCCGGACCTGACGTCTCTGCTCGCCGAACGCCGGGCGGGGCCGGCGGCGCGCGGGCTCGACAAGGAGCCCAGGCTGCCAGGTCGGTACCGCGGCCAGCGGGCACCAGGTGACCAGGCCACCAGCCCGCCGGCGACCGCGACCTGGCTTCAACACTGGTTCAACCACTCCGTCGTGCCCATCCGAAGCTCAACGGCGGCGGCCAGTGGGATAGGGCGGAGGCTCTGAGGCGGGAGACTGGACCTGGACTGCGCGAGGTAGGCTGGGCGGCGGCGGAAGGAATCACCGATGGGTGATGCGCAGGCAGCAGGGGAGGGTCCGCGCTGCGTTGGATGCGGCGGGCGCGTGAAGACGCTCTTCGTGCAGTACTCCCCGGGAAACATCCGCTTGATGAAATGCGTAAGCCACGCGAGTGCCCCTGGCCTCACGAGTCTCTGCACCATTCGTATAATCCTTTTTGATTTCTGCTTGTGAGCCATCAAACTCTGAATAGTGAATACTACTACCCTTATTGTGCCTACTAGGATAATTGCAAGGCTGTTGCTGATCCCTACATCGAGTGCGAGTTCATGGTACGGACGTACGGTGATCTATGAACCATGCCTTACAGCTTTGTACTAGGGATGTGTTAGCTGCACTTATCGTAGGATGCTTGAGTGCTTGACTGAAGTGTTGGCATCTTCTTGTTCCTTCCTAGATCATCTTGATTGATCTCATCCTGCACAAGACAAGGGCTTACCGCCATGTTCTGTTTAATAAGCTGAGCATGGGATCATCTGTTGACAAGGTATGAATCTATGTTTTCCAGGCTAACTCTGGTTGCTGTTTCACATTTCTGCAAGCATCAAATTGTGCTTGGCTCATACTGCAAACATCGAATACCACCTTTCTTTTGCTGGTCTCATAGTAGTAATGCTCTAAGCATTTATGCATTTCACTTTGACTTGCCTTACCTAATCAGTATGAAACAATTGTTACTGGTGATGCCCACTTGTCGAGTAGTTAATGTATGGATGAGGCTAAATATGGTTTGGTCATCGTTATTCATGCTAAATTGCCAGGACCCAGGAGTGCTCTCCGTTCTACATTAAAGCAAAGCATTTACTTCTCTTTTCTGCTTCAAATTTATCTTGTGGCGTAACACAAGCAATCAGGATGGTAACAATAAATATCATCAATGATGTGCCCTGTTCCACACAATAATTCCCATGCGTCTGCTGGAAAAACTGAAGATTTGCTTTCTGCCTTTTGCTAACGATGGCATTCCTGTTTCACTGACACGAAAGCCTTTTGTGACTTTCTGACCCTTCACAACAGCATACAAGAACCAATTTGGCATAAAAAAATTGTTTTCTATTCATATAGGTTTTAGATGAATAGTTTGGCAATCTTGTTGTGATCTGCTCTCATCTTGTAGTGATTTCATACCTTCCCTTCAAGAACTTATTTGGTGGATACGTCTTCATGTCCATATATAATTTGATTCTTTTTCTAATATGTCTTTGTGTTCTGGTTTGCAGGGAATAATTTACCGGTCTACTTTGATACATATTGCTCTTGACGCATGTATCCATAGAATTCATAATTTTTTACTTTGATTTTGGTTACTATGAACTATCTGCCCAACTTAAACAATCCATAACTATGTAAGTCAGAATATCTTTTTCGAAAGGAAACCGAGCTGATGGGGCTTCTTCCAGGAGTATTTTCTCAACAATTTCCAATTGCACTGAGGTGATTACAGTTAACAGCATTCAAATATATTTTTACTGTACATTGTCGTAACAGTGTGCCCAACATTTTGTTGCTCTCCAGGTTATTGGTGATGCATTGTTGGGAAACATCATATTTATGACCATGTTACTCCTGGGAGTGCGATTTATTCTCAAATTATCTTTTGATATTATAAGGTACAACTAGCATGACAAGTTCTCTTCTTGTTAGAATAAAGCATTTGTTGCTATGAATGGGTCCCTGAGTGTTCTTGATGGGATTTATGCAGCTAGTAGAGATCATGCAACAGGCTAATAGTCTCATAGTCCATTTCTGTTCTATTTACATTTTTAGTATTTCTTATTTTATTTGCGATTTAGTTTGCTTGTCCATGATATTTATTTGTAATAACAAATTTTCATTATTCAGGTATAGGGATGTTCTGTTCGCTGTCATCATTTCAAGCTACTTCAAGTTGTTTCTTTTCACAATGATGGTATAAAAGATTTTTATGCATTAATTGTTTCTTCCAAGTATACCTGCCATTTTATTCTTTCTGAATTGAGTATGAATATTTGCAGGTTTGGGAGTTCCCATCATCTGTTATATTCATTGTTGAAATGTTTGTTCTCTCATCAAATGTTGTAGCCCTGAGAGGTACACACAGCACTGCATATTTTACCCATGAATATATTCATTCTCCAAATGTTTTCTAGTCAGTAGGATGCATATATACATTAACAACAGTCTTGGTAAGTACCGGATGCTTCTTGCATAACATAAATTGAAACATGTATCTGAGTATTCCCTAGACGTTTTCTAGCTGCAAGGATGCTTACAACATCAATAACATTCATGGAGCATAGGCCGTGGATATCATAGATAATTATGTTAGGGTTCTGTGTTGCATCAACTGACACATGATCAGAGTTTTTTTCTAGTAATCCTGCCATTTCCCATACAAACATATATATGCCATGGTTAGATGGAAAGGGCCTTTCTGTAATCAAGATCTCTACTGATGGGATCAGACAGATGTCCTTAGTTCTGACATCAAATGATCAAGTTTATGGCATGCCCCCTTGTATCCATCTACATGTTCACGTCTTCTATAGCTTTCTGAAGTGTTAGTGTACTAGTTACTTGGGGCGATTGATGGTTTCCTTTTTTTACTGAAACTATGACAGTTCTATTTCTTTTTATTTACGCGTAAATTATGTTTCTTTGCCGAACAGTAAACCTGTTCAATGTTGTGTGAACTGAGCACACCATTTCTTTGCAGTTGTTTCGCAGTTTCCAAAAGCCCACTGCTTCGCGGTCTGCTTACTAGCACATGCAGCAAAATACTTGACCCAGCGATGGATCCTTGGAACGCCTTGAGCCTGAACAAGTCCAGACCATCCTCGAGCTTCAAGCATGGCCCTAATCTACAGATGGACCGTCCTGGTGCTTCTAGCGACGTCTAGGTATACTGTGCCCTGATGGTGAGCTCTGATGGTTGGATGCTGGCTTCTCGAGCCTAGGATGCTGGCTTGCGCTACTCACGAACGGCGTGGCCGCTGATGATGTCGCAACATTGTTAGGTGTATAATACAACGACTGTATTCCTAAGTTTGGTCTGTAGTAGTAGGCTTGCCCGTGTTGTCTTCTCCCCCCTTCCTGTGAGTAGTTGAGCTGCGGACCATGCTGGAATTGCATGGCCTCATGGCATCTGTGCAGCCCAGCACCGGCTGTTGAGCAATCTTTTTCCATGTTGTACTTACGGCAAAGATGGATATGGCATCTTTACTCGTAGGTAGTAGCTGCGAGTGTTGTGTGGTTGGTACTTGGTCCCTTTACCCTACCAACGGCCTGCGTAGCCTCAGCATCTCCTGTTCACGAAAGAATGCAGCAAAGGAAGGACCTAAGCTACCATTGTGTTCTGCTTTGGCGGTTCTACCAACATTACCTGTGAAAATGTCGTTTCCTGGCTGCAGCTGCAGCTGTGCTGTGAGCTCCAGTGACTGCAATGCACATGCACTACGGCAGCAGGAGTTCTCTGTCTCATAGTCAGTGTCCCCAAATCTGATCAGGTGTGTTCTGGCTCGCTCTGTTTTTTTTTAAGAGAAAAGTCTATTTTTGGCCATCGAACTTTTGGCGAAGTCCGGGAATGACCATCGAACTCGAAAACCAGGAATGTTTCACCATTTATTTTCTGAAACCGGACACAAAAGGCCATGGACCGCAGTCCACCTACACATTCCTGGTTTTGACAGAACTCCTCCCCTTCTCTCATTCTTCTCCTCCAAACCAGTCCTCTCCTCTTCTCACGTTACTCTCTCCTCCCCTTGCTCTCCCATGGCTGCCACTCCCTAAATCCCCTCTACAGCACCAAATCCTTGGGGGAAACTTGCAAATCGGATCGAGGACAACAACAGGAGCAAGAAGAGGTGCATCTTGCATGTGGATCGGTCCTTCCCCATCCCTTCCCGTCGCCCTAGGGTTTGTGGCTGACCAAGGTGAGTTGGATTTCCCCCTTCTCTACACAAGTTTGGTGTTTAGGGTGGATTTTAGCCATGGGAATAGGTGGACTAGTGGGGGAGAAAAGTTGCTTGAATGTTGTTCCTCGGATTTCAAATGAACAGTTTCTGCAGATTTTCTTGGGGAAACGATTAGGGCTACTTAGAGACCGAAATAAGTGTTTTGGTGAACTACAAAGTTGTAGAGGACCTTCAGATCTATTAGCTCGTGAAATTTCATGATTTTATCTCAAGCAGTTTCAGAGATATGTATTTTCGAAATTAGGTGTCATGTTGTGACGAAGTTCTGGACAGAACTGGATGTAGGGGCCTTTCGAAACCCTTAAATGTCTTATTAGACTTTCCAAATATGAGAAGCTTGTAGTACTTTCCATTAGCTTTTCAGATTGGTAAAGATTATGTCGCTTTGTTTGTTGTTTTGCTTGTATATCGGGTTGGGGGGTAGGAGTGCTAAATCCATTGTTTAATGCAGCCACAAACTTGTTTGTCATACAGGCAAGTGATAAAGTGTCCTGGGGATGAATCCATTTGAGTATCTTCCAGTCCGGTTCCATTTTAATGGAGAATTCATAAGAACAGGAAGACAAGTGCAGTACATCGGTGCTCGGATGGAGGTTTCCTTCATAGATAGGGATAAAGTGTCCCTGCCTGAGATTATTGGCCACCTAAAGGACCACTGCAATGTAAGTGAAAGGGCTCTTTTGCATTGGCTTCTTCCTGGGAAAGAGCTCAACATTGTTCAACCTAGCCAAGGCAAGACTTGCAAAGGATACACAAGCTGGAGCTCAGGCTATAATGAACACTAATCCACATCACTGGAGCCGTGCCTGGTTCAAGTTAGGTTCTTTTTGTGATTCAGTTGACAACAATATGTGTGAATCTTTTAACAAATGGATTGTAGAGGCTAGATACTTTCCAATTATTACTATGCTTGAGACAATTAGGAGAAAAGTCATGGTTAGGATTCAGCACAATAGGACCAAATCAGATGGGTGGAACACAGTCATATGCCCAAATATCTTGAAAAAATTGAATGCATATATTAATTTATCTGGAGTTTGCCATGCAATATGTAATGGACAAGACCAATTTGAAGTGGTTCACTGGATTAACAGGTTCACTGTGGACCTGAACAAAAATGAGTGTTCCTGTAGATATTGGCAACTATCTGGAATGCCATGTCCTCATGCCATATCTTGCATTTTCTTCAAGACAAATGATCTGTCACCATTCATTGCTAGCTGCTACTCAGTGGAACAGTTCAAAAACACATATGACCATTGTCTATTGCCGGTGGAAGGAATGAATGCATGGCCTGTTTCAGAGAAAACACCACTGAAGGCTCCTGGATATGTAAAGATGCCAGGTAGGCCAAAGAAGGAAAGAAAGAGAGAAGCACATGAGAAACCAAAGTCTGAAAAGGCCTCAAAGGTGGGCACAATTATCAGGTGTACGAAATGCATGCAAATTGGTCACAACAGGTCCACATGTGACAAAAGGAATGGCCAGTCCCATAATGCTTCTCAGGTTTCAAGAGAACAAGGTGGAACTTCATCAAGTGCACCTCACCATAGCACTGCTGCATCCATGAAGAGGAAAGCAAATACAACTCCATGTACACAGAACAAAAGGACAAGGACAACCAAGGTATGGTTCCAAAACCAGTGTAACATTATTGCCAATTTATGATCCTCACAAAATATGTGTGTTCAATGATTTATTTTTTCTTTTGCAAGGCTGGAGGTTCAAATACATTGGCCAAGACATCTGCAAGTGCCAAAGTTGATACAACTCCTACGGTTCAAAGAACTATGCACTGCACTCCAATGTGCCATTTACCAAAGTGGCTCAAGTGTGTCTATCACTATAAACTCGTGGAAAGTGAAGTTCGTTTGAATGCTCAAGGACCATCCCTCCAAAGAAGCTCCCGGTTAGAAGACCAAATTAAAGGCCCTATGTTCTTCTCTCAAAAGACTGGTGATGCCATCTGAAGTATCTGTGATGCCCATGTGTAATGCCGTAATCTCCCTACCATCCTGAACTATGGATTGTGAGGTGTAATGCCGAATCGTTGGCTTAAGTTCATGTTGCTACCATCTAAACTAGGAATTGTGATGTGTAATGCCCGACCGATGGCTTAATTTTACCCGACAAAGATGTGAACTATGAATGTCATGTGTAGGTGGCGTCAAAACCGGCGTGGCGTCAAAACCAGGTGGACTGCAGTCGATGGCCCTTTGTGTCCGGTTTCAGAAAATAAATGGTCAAAGATTACTGGTTTTAGAGTTCGATGGTCGTTCTCAGACTTCGCCAAATGTTCGATGGTCAAAAATGGACTTTTCCCTTTTTTTAATAACCTTGACCAACCTGAACGCTGGCATCCCCTGCCTCTCCTTGCACCGACAATGGCTGCTCTGTGTGTTTGCGATGAACAATAACATGCATCGTGCGATTACTTGCCATGAAGTGTTGAGGCGTGGAATCAGCAACTTTGATTAGGAGGGCCGGACAAATATAATGACACATTGTATGAATGATAAATATATACATAAATGTACATTTTAATATATTTTCCTATGCTTCTACATATGTAGTTAGTGTTCATAATAAAAAAAATCACAACATTATGATAAAATACAAGTTAAAATGGGCTAAATATGCTTTGTATTGTATTATTAATAGGGGGGGGGGGCATGGCCCCCACTGGTTCCTCCTCTGTGTTGAGGTGATGGGTTACTGCGATTGAGCCCACCTGGCCACATTGGGTGTGTTTGGTTTTCTGGTCAACTTATAGCCTGGCTAGAATCTGTGCCTGGACAGTCTTAGTCTGTTCCCACCGAGCCGATCTCTGATTGTTTGGTTGTTTGTATTGTGTAAACCTAGCTAGCCCATAGTGTGTTTTGTTGTCTGGTTTGTTTTCAGTCACCTCTGGTCTCAGTTGGTAAGCTTAGCCCTTTGAGAAATTTCATCTAACAATTGGTGGGTGCGCATAGGAGGAACTAGCGAACACCTCGGTGAAGCACGGCAGCCTCCACCAGTCCCCCACTCCGACGAACTACTCCACTCTGCACAACTAGCACATCACCACGATGATGCATCCGCTCTGCCGCTTCCTCTTCCTCCTCGTCGGCCTCCTCACGGCAGCGAGCACGACAAGCACCACGGCGTTCACGGAGATGGCGGAGCAGCTGCAGAAGACGGTGGTGTCCCCGCGAGGCGGCGGCGGCGGCGCAGCTGGACCCGCAGAAGTACGTGGCGACGATGCAGCAGCTGATGCAGAACCCGCAGTTCGTGGCCATGGCGGAGCAGCTGGGCAGCGCGCTGTTGCAGGACCCCGCCGTGTCCACCATGCTAGGGGGCTCACCAACCCGGCGCACAAGGAGCAGCTGGAGGCCCGCGTCGCGCGCATGAAGGAGGACCCCGCCGTGTCCACCATCGAGTCCGGCAGCCCCGCCGCCATGATGAAGTGAGTGAGCTGCCGGCGGTGGTCGGTGGTGGCCCGTCCGGTGAGGCCGGCGGCGCGGAGCACGCCGAGGCGGAGGACGACGCCGGGGAGGAAGGCGAGCACGACGAGCACCAGGCTCCGGCGGCGACGCGCCCAGGAACGAGAGGCGAGCACGGCCTCCGTCGAGGCAGCGAGCACGACGAGCGCCACGGTGAGCACCGGCGGGGAGGAGCACGGGAAGAGCACCGGCGGGGCGGAGGAGCATCGCTGCCGGACGAGAGCGAGGTGACCGAGCGGTGACGAGAAAGGAGCACCGGCTGGCTCGGGCCTGGCTCTAGGAGAACGGCCGATCTGGGCGTTCAATCCTGGTCAGGCTCCAGCAGTACGGATGGCCAGCCCTAGCCAATCTTCCGTCCATCTTGCAGGCAATCAAACGTGCCAAAATTGACTCGGAGTTAGGATAGGGATTGACCACCCAACCAAACACACTGACTGAGGTCTCTGCCCCGTTGCTCTTAGCATTTACTTTGTGAGGCCGATGCATGGCTTCGTGACGATAATGACTGTATCTGTGCAAGCTCACGGTTGTGTGTCAACGTACCTGAAAGCGTTTTCAGTCTAATGATGATCATGATTGTGTGCTAAGTATGCACCGACCAGTTTGCTCAAAAGCAGCTTAGTGTGTGTAATGCTCGGTTTATATGTGAGCTCAAGTGCATCTCACAAGGATTGAGGGGGCACTAAGACTAATTGGAGAGAAATTTACAGGTCTGATTAAATTTTGCCGGCCATCCTTGACGTGCTTGAGCATGCACCAGACAATCATCACCTGAAAACTAGAACCGACATTCATGGTTTTGGCAGAAACATCTTTAGGGAGATATAGTTGCTTGCTGGTTAATGGTGTCATAGCGAAAGCAGAATCTTTTATAACACAGCACTAGAACTTGTCACAGGGAAAGCGGTGACCAAAAGGAGGAGCTTCCTCTAGTTGTGCTTAGAGCAAAGTCATCTAGTACAAAAGTATTGTTACTTGTTAGAGAATTGCCCGAGTAATTTCAGTTGATGCGAGTCATTTATGATGTCTAAAGCTAAGCGCCATGTTTATTTGCATGGAGATCTCCTCTGTACATACTGCTTTTCTCTTGCTATATACAGGAGTCTATATAAAAAAAAAGTCAAGTATAGGGGAAAAAGAAACTAAAGCCTACTTTTTTGCCTCATAATCCAAGCTTTCATTTCATTTAATTAGTGGCACAATCAAGTGAGAGTCATTGTTAACTAAAAGACCATGCTCCTTATTTTCTTTTGGTTTCCTTGGTCATGCATGATGTGGCCAACCAAGCAAGATGATGATGATCAGGTTGGTTTCAGGTAGTCAGGGGACAGGAGCAGCTTAATGAAGCTGATTAACACGCGCTTTTGGAAGTAATCCGCGCGCGTGTAAATTAAAGTCTACTTCCAACTATCATTGCCGGCCGGGCTTGTTTGCTGCAGTTGCGTGTCGCCGTCATCATCGCGCGCAGCACCACTTCATTGACAAGTGGAGTCAGAGTGTGATAAATATGTATATAAGTGTACATTTTAACATGTTTTTTCTATGTTTCTATATATGCGGTTAGTATTCATAACAAAAAAATCACAACATTATGATAAAATATGAGTTAAAATGGGTTAAATATGTTTTGTATTGTATTATTAATAAGGGTATTAAAAAAATTCACTGTTTTTGGGGGTCGGGGCCACGGCCCCAACTGCCCCTGGTTCCGCCTCTGAGTGGAGTACGTGCGCACTTCAATTCTTGTTTGTTCTGTCTACTACTAGCGCTCTAGGAGTAGATAGCTACGACAATATCTCCTCTCGTTAGAATAAACTGATGTGGTTAATGCTCTAGCCTCTCGTGGCAGCTCCACTAAATAAAACCATGCTCATCAACCACCATATATAATTTTCTTTCATAATTTTTTTAATTAGAAACTTGAAAAGTGTATTGTAAAGTTATGGGTAAATATATATTGCTATAGAAAAGTAGTGGTTTCTTATGTAGGAAATGATACCTTTTTTCTTGTGACCAGATCGGAGGTTGTATTTATTCACGGCCGAAGGGGATAGTAGAGCTTTGATTCTTTTCTTTTCTTTTCTTTTTCTTTTTTTTGGTCTGGTCCTTCGACAGAGCTTTTGATTTTTGCCTAGAAAAATAATGATGACAAGTAACTGATTGAATGAATAATAATTCAAACGAACATGCCTTTAAGCTGTTCGACTGAATGATGACAAGTAACTGATTGAATGAATAATATCCGTTTTCCCTTTTCGCGTTTTTTTTTCTCACACAACTTATCACCAAAATGTTGTTTTTTCTCTCATAACAAAAGAAGACTCTAAAATTATCAATCATTCGTAAACCAACCAAATGTAATGCGTTATCTTATCTTGAGGAGCATGCACAGCCCTAGTCTCACCAAACCAATCGTTTCCCAAACGGTCATGCAGTTTCCTTTCTCAGAAAAGAAAAAGAAAAAGAAAAAGAAAAAGAAAACGAGTAGTGCAGTTTTGGCGGGCTACAGCTCAGTGATCGATCACGTCGTTGTGTTTTCCTCTTGGACCGACTTTCAGCTAGGAGTTGCGACGAGCACTCATGGCTCATTGTCAATCATAACGGAGACATGGAAAAAGTAAACTAGTCCAAAAACGACTTTCTCAAAAGTTTATTGTACACATTAGCCTAGAGAACTTGGCGCGTGCTGTGCGTACTTTCTTATCCCGCAGTAGTGGTGTCACCTTCAAGAGTGACATAGTACTATGTTCCAACAAGAAGTACATGGCTCACTGTTTTTTTTACAACAACAGCTTTTAATATATAACGTTATAATTCCCTAGATCAGTGTGGGAAAATAATTCCCAGATTACAAGCACGACAAATAAAAGCTACTGTTGATCTGCTTCCGTAGAAATAGGTGATACTTTCATCGGAGCGCGGGGCCCGTCGGGGCCACATGGCCCACGAGAAGTGGCCACGATAAAAGCATCTAGGGTCCTCGTTTTCGCACTTCGATAGCATAGCCGGCGCTTTCGCTCAACTGTCTGATCAGCCTATGTTTTCGAGAATAAGTAGTCTTGAGCCGATGAATGCTGGAGACTTCATCGGCTCAAAAAAATAGATCCACAGCCACCAATATCAAATCTGAGGACCTACTTTAACGGACGTTGGCCGTCAACTCGAACAACAATAGCTGCTTTACCACTTCCATGTGTGCAGAAGCAGATCGAAGAAAACCATAAACTCGCTCTGTATATACGTAGCCTGCCAGCCAAGTTGATAGGAACCGAGCGTCATTATTTTCTCTACAGACTACTGTGGCTTTTCACAGAGGCAGCGTAAGTTCTGTACACTGTTACATGTTCTACAGCTAAATACAAGGAGCTAAGCTGAACCATTTTTATATATCATTTATTTTGTCTATATATAGGACAAGGGAAAGACGGAATACTCTAAAATTCACTGACCATGTAAATAATTCTTAATTGATTCGCTCTTATTAGGACGTTCTAGTCATCAAACTACATGATCAACGGCCACTAATCTGGGCACCAACCTATATATATCCCTTTAAGAACCTTTCCTTCCCCTGTTGTGGCATGATTTCAACGCAATAAACAAATTCTCAGCAGAAAAATAATCCTTGTCCTAGTCATGTAGATTGCGGAAGGCATCATAGAAACCTACTTAATTTCTTTGAGGGGTCATGTAATAAAGCTTCGGCAGGAACCAATCAGACTTATCCACATACCTACATCAATGCACAAGCACTCATCCAATAGTGGGTAATAGGAACATAGAGCCTGATTGGTTGGTACACATAATGTACTGAATCATATATTTTCTGAAAAGGATAATATTAGTGTTTTAAATAGTTCCCAAATGTCACGAGCAGCATGGATCGATCCCGTGGGATTTATATATATATAGTTCGAGGTGTTGTTCGTTCTTGACAAAAAAAAAACAAATATAGTGAGACAAAGGCATTGTTCGCTGGTCTCACAAAACCAGACCAGCCGGCTGGTTGCTCTCACAGAATACTGTTCATCAACATGCCGCTATAGTGTTTCTCTCTCACAAAATCAGTCAGTTTCAACCAAGTTTTAGACCAGCGAACGGGACCAAAGAGAAAAATGGGAAAGGTGCGTGGCAGACATGAAATGGATTTATGAACAATTCTCGATCATAGGCTAGCTAGCTCATACATATAGGCAATATAGCCAATATTCCTGACGTTGACATGCATGCTAGCTAGAAAAGTTCAAGCAACATGGCAACGCAATTGCAAAATGGCGGTGGTCAAAGGCACCCGTGCTAGGCTTTTTTTTGTTGCGAGTGCTGCACCAACCGTTTATTACGATCATTCAGCAAAGACGCCTCCAAAATCCTTAATCAGGTCGAACTCAGCAAAAAAAAAAAGTTGCTTAATGATCCAAAAAAGCTGCTTATTAATCACGCAAGAGATCTAATAGGACTTGTAGAGGGGAGACCATATGTCTCTACCAAGATACCTTTGCGTGTGGTGTCTTCATGTACTTGTGTTACAGTGGTTTGGATTTGATGCTCTAACAATGTTATACAGTACCATTGCTTCACTTGTTTTTACCTATCCTCTTCTGGGACAAAAGAAATTGGATTATTGTATTTTTTTAGAGAAAAAACGATTTAGCCCCCCATGAACAAAGGAAAAAAAAGAGACATTCTAGGACTGCTTTGAAAAGCAGGAATTGCACATTAACCGTATTGAAAGTTCACATAATTTAGTTTAGTTTTATAGAAAAACACAGGAAATAGGAAAAGTTTCCTATGAACCCTTTTGGAATAAAGGATTAGGTTACTATAAATCCTATATCATAGCTTGTTTCATAGGGATTTTTGGCGGAAATATAATAAGAGCATGAACCTTTGAAAGTTTTCTTTATGTCATTCTCTCTCGCCTAATTCCTATGTTTTTTTTGCGGTCCTTTCAAACACATAGGCTATGT